CGGTCCGTGTCAGGTAACACGACCGCCCGTGTTGGTCCTCTAGTATTTAATTTCTTTAATCAACTCCCAGGAATGCTGACACGGCCGCCCGTGCCAGCCCCCTGGCATCCAACATTACACCCATTTATGTCTTGACACAACCTGTGTCAGGAGACACGACCACCCGTGTCACGCCCCCTATAGCATGAGATTTTCACTTTCTCCGAAACTCCGAGTTATGCACTTTCCTGCACTGATTTGTCCTGATTTATTCCCGTGAGCTTAAAAATAGTAAAACACACAACTAACACATAAAATGTAGAAGAACAAAATAAAACACTTGACAATATAAAGAAAAGATAGCTAAAATCAATGGTAAATATCATGTAAAAACCACTAATCAATACTCATCAGCGTGCTTGATATGGTGAGTTAGCGATGCCACATAGGGATATCATTATGCTTGCTCACCTCTAGTGGTGCCATGTAGGAAATTCCACTAGGCTTTCTCCCGATGGGCGTGTGGGTTCAAGAAGTCGTATTTGAACTTGGTTACTCATTAGTGTTTGGATGACTGAGGGGTTAGTGATGCAACATAGGAGATATCATTGCGGTAACTCATCACGGGTGGGATGGTGTAGCCAAGTAGGCGTCAAAGCACTTGGATACTCATCTGAATTCAGCATGTGGTGTGTATGTGCAAGTCTCTTGACGAATAGGCACACGGAGTCATCGAGGGTGTGGTAGGTAGCCTAAGTTGGTAAGTAACATACTTCTGGATTCCTCGTACGTGGGTACATGTCTGTATATTATTGGTGGCCTTGTGCTGGTTATGTTTTCTTGCAACCTCGTTAGTTGTTATGGGACTGCTAATGGTGGTGTTACCTTTTGTATATATGCCCCTAGCTGTGAGGAAACCTGGATTCGTGGTGAATCTGTTTTGTTTGCATGCACCTTATAGTTTTTCAGGAACATGTTTTAGGTAGAAGAATTGCTAGACGGTCAGTTTTGATGACTGTAGACGAGTAGATGGTAGGAAGACCTTCTCAAATGTTATGTTTCCGTTGTGCATCGTTTGAAGACAAGTTATATGTATACATTCTGATATTAGGGTTGCATTGTATATAGTTTTAATTTCTTGTCTTTTCCCAGCTTTGTATGTTTCTTTGTACAATATTTAACATCACTGTATATTATTCTAGACGTATATGTACGGGGTGTTATAGGTACAATGTCAATTAGTTTTATATAAACTTTGTATGCTTAAAAGACCATCACCCATTCAACTATAAATTTTCTCAACATTCATGCATCATAGACATTCAAGTTATAACTTCTCAAAGTCCAAAAATTAAATTTTTCGATGTTGTAATCGATTACACTATATATGAAATCGATCACATATCCATTCTACAAATTTTTTAACATTTTTAAAGGTGTTAATTGATCACATGAAAAGTCTAACCGATTACAACCTACGTATTTTTAAGAAATCACGCACCAATGCTATTCTAAACCATTGCTATTCATCATGAAATTTATCCAAAGATTGTTACTAATCTAAGAGGTATCTTATAATGTATTTATGAGAAAATATGTATATCAGTTTTTGAAATTACCTCTTTCACACAAATTTTCATAACATTTAAATTTAATTCAACTATTCATTCTCTAATATCATTGAAACTTTTGCTACATAATTTCATATATCATTGCAAAGTTTCATCAAAACATTTAAGCACTTAAGTTTTATATACATTGTAAATTGTATACTAGAAAGGGAGTTTTATGACTTATTCATGAAAATTATGCAATAAACCTAATAAAGAATCTAGTCATGCATTTAAGAACTAAACATATAGACAACTGACACTATTTCTGATAGTACAATGTTCTTAAAGGAGATGTTGAAGTCATATTTATGGACAAACATGATCAATTGTTAGATATTTTCATGAAACCGTTTAAAGTTTCAATTATTAATGTTTTTTCTATGCCTATTATTTATCTGGTATTATTATTATTGTTATTATTATTATTATTATTATTATTATTATAATAATTATTATTATTATTATTATTATTTTAATAAAATGTTATCCCGTTCAAATTCATGTTTTTTAATGGTAGGTTCTAGAGTGATCTTTTTTACGTATCTAGATCTGTAAAATTTGACCCTGTCCTTCTGTGATGGAAACATTTTGCTATTTAAATGAAGAATAAATACTTCATTCAATTGCGTACCTCAATCTAAGACCCAATTTTCATTCGTCATACGCTTCATGAACTATGATCTAGCCAATTTGATTATGATTTTATAAACTATATGTGAGACGTGTAACTCTTTTGATTATCATTTTAAGAATGGATATCCAATGTTAGAAAAAGGAATCTTAAACTTGTTAAAACATCACTAGGTATGAATAATCTCTTAATTTTATATGGTTATTTCTCATGAATATTATTTTATTTTTTCTATTTTAATAATTTGACATGATAATATTTAAAAATCTTGATGATCTTCTTGATGGATCTTTTGTTCCCTTTACTAGGATATCATCCGCATATCACACATATGTGGGAATTTGAGCTCGTATGGTTAGTTTCAGAGGTTTTACTTGTTCATCCTAAAGAGAGAATATGATATGTTGACTTCATACGTCTTTCAGAATGCATAATAAAATAAAACAGAAAATGCATCCCTATCTCAACCCCATTTTAAATTAGAAAAACCCAATTATTTTTTCTATTAAGGGTGCCAGGAAGACATATTGACTCCACAAAACCTGCAAAAAATATTGGCTCGACAAATAATAGAGGGCACACACCAAAAACCTATGCTTTCCCATGATAAATGAGAGTGAGACCGGCCTAAAAGCAGTTGAACCTCTAAAGTCTAAAAGTTTTAAAATTCTTGATCGCCCTTGAAAAAAAATGGGGTGAATAGTAAACAATGCAAGCCTAAATATGAAAAAATACACTGACATAACAGACATGTTTGGCGGGCCTAACCCTTTGCCACCCATATTTTCCAATAACTAGGATGAATAGCATCATCGAGTGTAACATTTATTTTCCAAAAAATTTAAGACATTCAACAAGAAAGACCAAATCAATGTAACATTTATTATCAATCAAATTTACGACTTATTGCCGCTTCTCATGTTATAACCATGTGGGAACCCATGTTGAGTTTGAGGGATACCAATATACATCTCAAAATTGAAATATTAATTTATTTTTCTTAAATATGAACATTTTTCCTAAAATATTAAAGTTTGCATCCCCCTCTCATGCTCTAGAACATATGACAATTCGGTCCAAAAAGCGATATCTATTACACAATTTTGAAAAAAAAATAACTTAATTAACAATTTGTTTTAATTAATAAAAATAATATTAATATATACATATAGTTTATACAATATAAAAGTTAGTGAGAACTATTTTTTTTATATCTAAATTATATAAACTAGATATCCTCGAGTAAGAGATTTAATATCGTTGTAATATATCTTAAGCTATAAATTATTGCATTTTATATATATATATATATATATATATATATATATATATATATATATATATATATATATATATATATATATATATATATATATATATATATATATATATATATATATATATATATATATATATATATATATATATATATATATATATATATATATATATATATATATATATATATATATATATATATATATATATATATATATATATATATATATATATATATATATATATATATATATATATATATATATATATATATATATATATATATATAGAGGTTAATATTTTTCTACATCAAAGAAGTAATTCATTTATAATGGATAAAACATAGTTTGAGCATTCAGCTTAGCAATTCGAATATTAACTGACAGCCGTGTTGTGTAAACAAAATGTTTCTACTTCATAATAACTTGACATACAATTTTCTAGGATAGTTATCTACTTAAGAAAAGACAATGCAATTTTCATGTGAAGTATGATTTATTCAAGATTCAAAACCTATGATATACTAGTAACTTACGTTATTTTGAGGATTGATAATTTCTTTAATATTAAGCTATTAAACAAATTCACTATGCAACAATATCTATGTTTGTGTGTGTTTTAAGTTTTACACAACAAAATTGTTGAGTCACATTTTATTCAAAAGTTTTAATTTCTTGTTTTGATTTCAGTTTTGTATTTTAGTTGTGTTGAAGATTGTGTGATTTAAACATATGGATTTAAAAGTTATTTTCGAATAAAGATATATTTCTTAAAAGGTGTAACTTCTTTTTGAGGTTTTACTTACTTCTTTGTGTTATTTTTGTTAAAATTAATTTTCAGCAACTTTAAGAAAGTCATATTTAATGAAAGAAGAAAAATATGATTTATAATGTTTATGTTTTTTAAATAATATTTATCTCATTAATTTCTATTAAAATTACTAAGTTTAAATTAAATTTTAAATTTCAGGAGTGAATTTTGGTGTGAGCCTTGTAGTATGTGCAAGGTGCACATATTTTAATTTTAAAATAATAATGTGATATAACATATAATTCATTTAACAAAGTTATAAATTATTTAAATATTTTTCTAACATACATATTGTTAGAATTTTTTTCTAATCATAATTGGTTTTTTAAATATTTTTAAAAAATAATGTTCAAATTATTTATATCAAAGTGATTGTTTTAAAAAAAAATTGATATTATAAAATTAATTTTAATTAAAAATAAACTAAATACATAAGAATGTATATTTAAATATAATAATGTAAAAATATAATAAATAATTGAAAAGTAAATACAAAAACTCCAAACATTAAGTTACTTTTTATTTCCTCCATAAATAAAACCATTCATCGCTGCCCATAGAAATAGAACATGGTTGGCATGTCATACACACTACTCAAGCTTATTAGAAAAGTTATATATGTTAACATAATCAATTAAGCACTTATATAAATAGATATCAAAATCATAATATTCTTACAACTTTTCAAAATGAGTACTCTAAAAATACAATTTGTGATTGTTGTGACATTGCTTTTAGCATTGCTAATTAATATAGATGGAGATTCATATTCAGCTTCAATTCCAAATGATGAAGGGAACAAAAATTCAATGACAACCATTGTTGTTGAAGAAGTTGGTTTGGAGTATCCAGGATCACTTGATTGTAGCGCAAGTGCATTAATATGTAACAATGGAGAAATTCTACCAAGAAGTGTATGTTGTAGAAATCGATGTGTCGATCTTACATCTGACCCATTAAATTGTGGTCTTTGTGGATTTATTTGTCCATCTCCTTTGCGGTGTTGTAACCGTTTGTGTGTAAATCCATATATAAGTCCTTTTAATTGTGGTCAATGTGGAAGGGTATGTCCTATTGGAAGGCTTTGTTTTTGGGGTTCGTGTGCTTTGGAAAATCCATCTTTAGCTCCACTCGTTTCTCCATCAAAGATACAACACCTACCAATTCCAAAGGAGTAATTTAAATTTATAATTTTATGTTATGAAAATACTTTTAAGAATGATGTGATGTATGTTGCATTAAATGAATAAATGTTTGTATGTTAGTAGAAGAGCATCATTTACTGGTTATAATATATTTAGATAAATTGGTTATATTATTTATAGTGTATTTGCAACGCGGTTCATATCAATGTCAAAGTAAAAATCCATTTGATTTAAAGATATAAAACATATGCATTTTAATTAGATTTGGAGTGACATTTCTATAAAGCTTAATCGATCAAAACTGATCAAGTTTACTATAGTTTATTTTGTATTGATTTTTTTAATATCTAAATTTATAAATTATAATTAATTAACAATAATATTATAAAGACCTGTAAATAAATAATAGTTTTAATATAAAATATAGCTTATTATATATTAATAATTAAAATTACAAAATGAGATTTATCTTTTATGTTTAAATCATATAATTTATAATAAAAAAATGGATTATCAAGGTATACTAAAAATACTAAAAATACTAATAATAGAATAAATGTAATACTTTATATGTTAATATATAAAAACAAATATATGTATGTAATTTGTTCTAGTTTAATTTGATTTTTTAAATTCTATATATATTTACTTATTATTCATTATAAATGTATTTTTAATACTTTTTTTAAGATGGATAGCCAACAATTATTTAAAAAATTTATCTTTTATTTAAGATGGAGAACAAAAAGTTATTTAATTCTTAAATATTTGATTTTGAAAGGAGAATTAATAATTATTTAAAATATTTAAATCTTTTATTTAGGATGGAATATAACCCATTTTTAAATTCATGCCACCCTTTGAAATTATATTGACATACATACGGAAGGTGTTGGTCGTTACTAAATCCATGTTTTCATCTATTGCATGTTAATGCCGAGAGATAGGGTTAAGTTTAATATTTCACAGAATATTGATAATTGATGATCAATATATTTATATCACTGTTGAATCTTAGCGTTGTTGTATTTAATGTGAATATATACTCAATTTGGAGTATAGTTTTGAAAAATACAAATGATTATCAAATAAAAAATTTATTTCAATGTTCAAGAGGCTTCCAAGACAAGGAACAAGTGCCTTTAGATATTATGTATAGTACTCGATATATTTATTCCCTTATTGGCACTACTAATTTTATCAGTGATGAACATTAAAGGAATAACTATATTGAACATACTTTATTATTATGGAGAAATAAAGATTTAATGTGTAGCAAGGGTCTTATGGTCATTGTGCCTTTGAATGAAAAATTAAGGGAGTGTTTGGCTTGACATTTCTTTGATCTTTATTCCAAAAATCAGATTTGTTGAGAGGAAGAGAAAGAAAAGAAGGAAGCGTGAAAGAGAGGAAAGAAGGAAAAATAAGAAGAGCTCAATCTCTATCATTCCATCTTGCATGCTTTAAATTTTGTTTCCATCCTCATCAATCTCTCCTAATTTTTGTTCCAGCTCCTTCACATCACATATATCAAGTGAGTCTCATAATTTTGAGACTTGGGGGAATATGTGTTTTGGGAAAAATGGTAAAAAGGGATTTTTGAGGGATTTATGCTTAATTCTGCTTCCCTTCTAATAATAATGTGTACATGCATCATGAATACAACATGTATATTGCTTATTCTTGATTACATGTGAGATTTTGGGGTTTGGGAACCCAAAATCGTGTTTCTTCCCTTTCTGATTTTTCTGTATGCTATGAGGTTCGCTTAGTGAACTCTGTGTTCGCTTAGCAAACTGTCTGATTTATCAAGTAGATGTGTGTAACAGAATTCTCTTAGTGAAATATGGTTCACTTAGCGAAGTAGCCTTCGCTATTGAGTTCCCATAGCGATGTTCTGAGACTGAATGTAAATAATTAAATAAATTGCTTACTGCATGTTTGCTTAGTGAACTGTGACTTCTATAATTGGATGAAGCTTCTGACTTTGTTGACTAGGACATCGCTTAGTGAATCGAGTGTTCGCAAGCCGTTCTCTTAGCGAACCTGCCCTAACAAAACCATGTAACTTTTCCACGAGTGCAGATTCATTCTGAGTTCGGGAATGGGATGCCTTATTAGTTATTTTATGGTATTACCGTTTGTTGCAATAGCGTATGCTTCTTCAATATGTTCATTGATATTATGTATGTCAATGCATGTTATGTTGAAATGCATTGTATGATGATTATGTTATTCTAGTTCGAATTTCTAGACATGTTTGATTATCTGTGGCTTTCCCGTGATTTCTATGTCGGCATTTGATAGTGGTCAGCCTGGCTCACAATGATCATAGTACCGAGCAATTCTGGAAATGCATATGGTGGTTAGCCTAGCACATACTCATGGTGCATGTCATACCATCTGTGCAATTTTGTTGTCCTTCTCACATGATGGTCAGCCTAGTGCACACTCATTGGTGGGAATGGACGACCAAGCATTATCACCACTCTCAATGAAAATTAGCCTGGTGCACGCTCATTTATCGGTTTAGAATTTGCTGGTATCACAACGAGAATGATCTGGTGTATACTCATTTTTTATCGGGGGGAAATTCTAGTTCTTGATGGGAATGATTTGCTGTATGCTCATCGTGTCACTGTTAGAAGCATCTCCTTAGGCAGTAAAATATCGACAATGTTGGTTCGGTAGGGTCGTGAGGCCACATAGGCTATATCACTTTGTTACTCACCCTAGTAGTACCATGTAGGTATTCTTATTAGTCCTTCATCGGATGGCTCGTGTCTTCATTATGAAGTGGTAGAACTTTCAACTTTCTAGCACAAATGTGTACATCCTGTTGTGTGTTTTATGCGTTCTTTGTGCTATTTTTATGATCCCATTGATTGATCAAGGGACCTTTATTGATGATCTTTTCTGTATATGTGTCTGTACCTGACCTGTAGGTAAAACACAGATCCTCGGTGGATTCATTTATGTATGATCCTGTATAACCAAGCGAACCCCTAAGATAGGAAGACTTACTGAGATTTAGTAATCTCACCCCAATTCACTTATTATTTTCCAGGTAGCTCGAGGTAGGATTGTGGCAAGGGTATTATTGCTTAGCTTGTCGACGGTGTTTCTTGTCAAGGTTATGTTATTTTTGTTCATTCTATTTTGTATCGTGGATTATGCATAAGTAATTTTTGGAATTGTATTATTCAGGAAATGACAGTTACAACATTTTGCATCCTGTACTAATACTTTAACCTTATTTCTGTTGGTTATGTATGAATTCAGTTACCATATTAATACGATACACGTATTATCCTAGGCAATGATATGTGAGGTGTTACAGTTGGTATCAAAGTAGGTTGATTCTCGTCTTTGCCATGAAAAATCATAAGTCAGCTTAATTATGCCTCATGTGTGTAATTGTCGGCATGATTCCTTATGTTCTACTTTTGCGTTGAGGTTGATCAGCTTAATTCTATGTGTAGGACAAATAGGAAGATGGTTGATGGACGTAGAGGTCTCAGAAGGCCCGGGACTAGGAATGTGGAGATCGAGGCTAAAGTTGGATATGCTAATGTAACCTGGTTACAAATGATGCAACAAATGCAACAACATAATTAGATGATGATGCAAATGATACAAGGCATGCACGAGCAACAACCAGTTCATCCCGCTCTAACTCTACAAGTCGAAGCAGGTCCTGAGTTCCATTCCTTCTTTAGGATGAAACCACCAGAGTTTGTTGGTGGATTGGATCATGTGGCTGCCCATGACTGGTGCTATGGCATGGAGAGGGTATTCTAGGCCATCTAGTGTGCTGAGGAGGATAAGGTGTAGTTTTCTACTCAAATGTTAAAGGGTTCTGATGGTAGGTGGTAGGATACTGCATCCACCTATTTCACCTCCCAAATGATTCCTAAGAACTGGCAACACTTCAAGACTACTTTCTTGGAGAAGTATCATCCTAACAACTTACACGCTCAGAAATAATGTGAGTTCAAGTTATTCAAGCAAGGAAACATGTCGGTGTCCGAATTTGATGAAAAGTTTGAAGACATGGCTTTCTATTCCAGACAAGTTGTTTATGCGCCTGATGAGCGGTGGAAGATATACCAATTTCTTTTTGGGCTGAATGTTAATACTGCCCACAGTGTGGCTCAAAAGGGAGTTTGCTACCTATGCTGAATGTTTGAGGAAATGTTATGTTACTTAAAACATCCTAAAAATAATTCATGATGAGAAAGATCAAAACAATCCGGTGCGCAAGGATCAGGGAAAATCAGGCCAATATCTGAAGGTGCGACAATCTCAATCTACAAGGAAGCAATCTTATGAAGAACGATCAACCCAACTCTCTCTGTGTGACAAATTCAAGAAAAGACATGTTAAAGATTGTAGGAAGGATTCATGAAAGTGTTTCAGATGTGGATCAGTGGACCACTCAGTGAGGGATTTTCCCATTCCAGATACTCGTGAGAGGACTGCAGGTTGTGTTTATACTTTGGATTCGAGGAAAGCCTAGGGAAACATAAATCTAGTTGCTGGTACATGTTATGTTAATAATCAAACTTTATTTGTTTTAGTTGATTGTGGAGCGACACATTCTTTTGTGTCCAATCAGTGTGTTTAATGACTCGGTTTTAAAATGAGTTACCTTCTTGTTCCAAATATTATTACTTTTGATACTGATGATGTCATAGAAGCTCAGGAAATCTATGAAACCGGTTATGTCACTTTTGATGGTCAGAACTTCTTAATCGACCTTATCTGTCTTTCATTTAAGAAGATTGATATGATTCTAGGCATGGACTGGTTAGAAGCCAACTCAATATACATTGGTTGTAAAGAAAAGGCTATTTTCGTTCCTGCTAGAGAGACTACTCCCATGGATGCTATTTCCAACCTGATAGAATGTACAATTAGCATGGTTAATCATTTGTTTGCTCAAGAGACAAACTTTCTGTTGGCTCTTTATATTGATTACGGGGATAAGAAGCATGTATCAGAGATTCCTTTAGTGTGTGAATTTTCCAATT